TGATTCAGGCGACGAGAATTGAACTTTTATACCTGAAGTAGACTATTTTCATTCTCACTTCAAAACCGCTTGTTTCTTTGTCATGCTCGGATGAGTTTTCGTCACATGACATCGTTTTGCATACTAAATGAAACATAAAGGCGTTTCCGGTTCCACTTTTTTTTTAACAAACCGGCTACTGGAACAATACATCAAAAATCTAAAACTTAAGGCAATAAAATTGTGCGATTTCAAAATGGATCTAATAAAGTGGCAATTGAACTTTGTGTCATGCTATTTTGGTCTGAAATCATACTTGTGATTTCAAATCAAACTTGCGCTGCACACTCGTTCGATTTTGAAATCACGCGTATGATTTCAGACCAAATTGCACTCCACTCAGTTCAATTACCATGATTAATCATATGAAACTTATCATTATCAAATACATGTAAGATTTACATTTCGGGTTTACAGACCTCGGCAAGCAAATAAAGAGCTGAATTGCCTCTGATGAGTCTCTTAATGAGAGCTCCATCCCACAGTCTCGGATCACCATGAAATTCTAGCCTTGTCCGGTTTTCAATGGCTGAAGCACACCTAAGTCTGAATATTTAAATGAAAAGAAATATTCATGGTTACAATGAACAATATATGTTGATCTCGTGATTCTAATGACAACAATTATGCTGTTATGCTGTTTTAGAGGAATCACCTATGACATCATCACTCTCCTCATTTGCACAATACAAAAATGTAAATAACTCTAAAATGAAAAAAGATATTCCAAAAGGGAAAACACCATTCTTCTTTACTTTGAAAAGCCTTTCATATAAGCAGGAATTATTTTTTACTTCATAGGTACTTTAAACAATTTGTGTGTGTGTGTGTGATCTAATTGAACAGCTCACTAGTAAATTAACTTGACGTATAAATAGACACTTTTAATCTATACTCTAGTTTAATTTAACTTAATTTTAATTAATTTAATGCTAGTTTAAATTGGGTAATCACTGTTGCTCAGGCTTTGGGCCTGTAATAAATAAATATGACATCACTGTAATCACAAAATTGTACACCACCACATTAAACACATTACTGAATATCTGCAATATAAATTAAGACTGTGTCCATGACAAAACCAGGCAGGAGGTGATACAGCTCAAATCACCAATTTCACTCACACTTAACACAAATGTTGGGTTTGGTGAGTGAATGATGGTGACAAAAAAAGTAGGTCAAAATATTTTATTCCCTTCAAGTTAAGGGGACCTCCTGCAAAAATGGCCATTTGACACTAATTAATGCATATATTATTAGCCATCTTTGGTTTAGTATTTCTGCAACAAGAAAAGCCATGTAAAAATGAAATCTACTGGATCATGTTCTACAACTATCAGATGAGTCTAAAAGCAAGGCAATTCAATTTCTCTCCGTGGATTCATCTTAAGTAATGTGCATATTTTGTGGTGTTGTGAGTAGCCTTTCGATTATGAGTAAAATTCACAGAAAAGAAGCACTTGAGACATTTCTAACGAATATTTTTGGAGCAATACCTTGAGGAATTCTCATGATATCGATAAAAATACAGCAACAGAAGACTTACCTCACAAGCCTCCTCAACACTTTCAGGTGTAAAATAGAATGGAAACAAGAAACAACTACTAACTACTAACATGTCACTTAGACGCGATTTTGCGAATGTGTGATTTGAGCTGTATCACCTCCAATCCTGTCTGGTTCTGCCTGGTACACTCGTCATTAATATAACTCAGTCATTACAAGCTTAGTGTAACTGTATAACAAGGACCTGGTAAGTTATTGATCATGAAGTCTTGTAACACAAAAGTTATTTTTAAAAATAACTTACACACGACTATCAGCATTGCCTATATGTTCACTTATGTTGCTGCCATGCACTACTTATTAGCTGTATAGTACACGTGTAGTTTAATTAATCTAAATATTACCAAATACAAAATGGCATAAGGATAATATTTGCTGATGGTCGATTCCAGAAAATATTCCATACCCTTTCAAAAGCAGCATCTTCATCTAAATTGCCCCTTGGCTTGCATTT